GTCCCAAGTGATAAACAGGAAAAGAAGAGCCCGCCGATTGCGCCTGCGGGTGACGAAGACGAGAAGAAGAAAAGAAAAAGTCGCAAGGAGACCAAGGAGGATAAAGTTCAGAGAAAGTGGCCAAAATGTCACAAATTATTGGGAACGGAACGAGTGACATGAACGCGAGTTTCAATAAATGAAGGTATTGAAAAACCTACTTACTGCATGACTCTTAACCACAAAAACGTTTTTTTCATAAATTACCGTGAAGTTTTTCTTAAGAAAACAAAAGACGAAATGAGTAATGATGACAAATGCGCCGTTCGGTCGCAATCCCGAGGGAATAGATCCCTAATTTCACCAAGGTTTTAAGTGAGCAATAATAATTTTGGGGACGACATGTTTTATAGTCACGTTACTGATTTTCTTACGGTCGAGGAAAAACTATTTGATTGACTTGTTTTCAGAACTTAAAAATTTGGAAGGTTCTATGGTCCACAGGAGCTATTTAAGAGTGGAATCCGACTCTAAGGCTCCTTAAGTTGCAGGCGCTAACTGTACAGTAAAGGGAAAGGTATCGTATTTCAAAACGGGTAGGTTGCATTATGCTTTTTGTGAATATCGTTATGAGTTTGTGGTAACTTTCAAACTTTTCTAAAATGGACAATGTTGTTTTTGTTCTTAGCCCATTATGGTCCATGTGCAAAAAGACAGCAATCATCTCTGGAAGGTTCCAAGAACATAGACAGCTTTTGTAGTTTATCTTGGACTAGTGAACAGCATGATGATGCAGATGTCATGATTGCTACTGAGGAAACGGAAGACTTTGAAGGAATCGATGACTTCATTTCAGATAAGTAAATAATGGACTGTGTTTTACATCAATTATTGTCTCGTGGGAAAAGTAGTTATCGTGCTACTTGTGAGAAAATGTGACGTTCCAGAGTTTTGATGCCTGTTTGCATCCGATCACTCAGCCTATACGTTTACTTAATAAATTTACAACTGTTGTTTTCCCGACTAAAGTTTTAAAGTGTCAGTTTAATTACCGAAGACATTAGGAATAGCTCTTTAGTAGAATGTATCTCCTAGTATTCCCGTGACATGATCCATCCATTCAGTCAGATTTAAACACTAAACGGGCGAAATCATTTTTACTGTGAATATTGTAAATTCCCGACAATGTAACTCCAGTTATTAGGTTATGTCTTTCCTCAAAAATGGAATGGTAGAGCAGGATGTTCTGTCATTTAAATATTGAGAATAGCTCAATTGTACTTGAGGCAGGAGGTGGTCAAATGCTTCATTTCCGCGGTTGATCGTTCCAAACGAAATACGATGTCCAACAAACGCAGCTGGCTCCAAACTTATAAACTTCAAACTTACTTTCTCATGATTAAAAAATCAAAATTTTGTCGGTATTTGCACGGGTGCCTGGAAAATACACATCCAGTCGCAATAAAGCTAAACGATCTTCTCAAAGAAGGAAAGATCTCCAAGTGATTGCCTGTACTACAAATTTGGTATCGACCGAAGTCTGTCTCTGGCGAGGAAATCTACAGTCCTTTCAGAACTCCGTCAAGACCATACAAATATGGAAACGATGCTTAAAGCAAATTAAAGCAACAAATCAGATTGTGTCCTATGAAACATCCCCCTGTTTAAGCAGCTGTAATGACTGTTTATCAAATAAGTCTGTGTGCGCGAATTGTATGGAAAAGGGCCCCACCTCGCACATACCTTCTTTAGATTCCTTGTTATGGCTGTTGTAACTGATTGTGAGGAATGTAATAAGAAAGCCCTGGTGGCACTGAATCCTAGTGCAAAGAATGAGACCTTGCCTGCAGAACTGTCCCTTGTTGTTGCCTTACCATATGTGGTTCACCTTGGGAAGAGTCTTAAGTGAAACTGGGCCAACTGGTTCATTGACCTTGAAGGCGCAAGAAGTAGCCTCGTCTTAATACGCACCCTGTGTGATTCTGGAAGCCTTGATATTCGCAAAAAAACTTAGGATATGCCTAACCCTCTATTAAGTGCGAGACAAGATCGCATGGCAGTTGAACCAATCGTGCACCTTACAAGACCAACAGTCTTATTTAGGTGTTTTAGAAGATGTCACATTTGTGCAAGTGATTTCTATGCACGTATCAGGTTTTTAACCATTTCATTGCCAGAAATTTGGGACAATATATGGGAGGCGGTTCTCGTCTTACAAGCAAAATTGCGCCGAAAACAGTACAAGAAAATGTATGGGAAAAGATTGTTTTTTCAAATTAGCTGTATAAGAATGGATATTCTTTCGCTGCGTAGTTAGAAATGCAGCCTGCATCGGTTAAAGTGTCCATCGCTTCGAAAAAGAAACTGACTCAATTCAAGCCTACCTTTTCCCAAGGTATACGAGTAAACTCATAATTTTGACTCCATTTTCCCATACAAACTCTTAAATCTGCTTCGACTAGGTGTTACAATTCTTTTGTCGTGGGAACAACCTTGTGAATGTTCGCAACTGCGTAGTTCGATATGGATTCTGCCGAGGTTTGCTCAAATAAACCGCTCGTAAACGGTCGAATATGTTGGCCCACACATTTTCCTTGAGCCGGGAGGGCTAAACTTCAGAATACCCGGCCACTCATTTACATGTCATTATTTTAGATCTTAAAGGTGGCTTTTCGAACTTAACAGTACTTTATTACATAGCATTATTATATATTTAGTAATTTTATTATTTTGTTACGAGGATCGAATTATTTTTACTGAATCTGTCACGCAATCCCAGACTTTTCTAGAATTATCTATAATCTGTAATATTCCAGAAACTTCTTTCATGTGACTCAGCAGTTTCCAAAAATAGTACAACTTGTAATACGCTATAAATAGTAATAGAACATTCTAGATAACTAAAGTAAATGTATAAAAGCTGGCTTGTGAGAAGTACAAAAGAGATTTGCCCGAGGGCTTACCCTCGTGGCTTGCTGACTGAACTTTTGGAAGCTATGATATGACGAGGCTATGACCTTTTGACCTTGCGATATCCGGAGAGAAGAAAGAGATGAAAAAGACGATAGTCGAGAGAGGAAGAAGATAGAGAATACAGAGTTTACTATGGAGTCCTCCGGAAGAGTTTGTGTACAAGGAAAGAATGCGATAAATCAAGAAAGCCAAGCGCTGTGGTCTTCAGTCGGCGGATGTTGGAATTGGAAGTTGATCAAGACGACGAACACTTACACGGCATGAAGGATTGTAAGCCTGCTTTATGAACTGCTTAACTTAATCTTTAACCTAAGTAAATTAGACAATGTAAAACTAATTAAATAATAGTTAAAATGGGTAACTGCTTGTTGTTACATTTTTGTTGCGTGCCATATATCGTACTCGGGAGTCTATTTTCATATATGCTTTGTTAGCGGACATTTGTTGGTCATTCGTGCACGTAACAACANAACCTCTTGCTAGATGACTAGCCTCGTTCTTTTGCCCCTGAATTTATCTTTAAACCACACTTGTTTTATCTGGGATGTTCAGTTGTAAAGGCAACCCTTGTACGAGACTTTGACTGAGATTTCATCATACCGACCAAAAGAAAGTGGCCCTTCGCTTGCGCGATGGAAAAGACAAAGAGAAAGAGTTTGTAAGGACTAAGATGAAACTATTCATAAACTTTCTTTAGAATGTTCCTCGTTTGTTTGGGAAAAAAAAAGGATGCCGTTGCAGCGTAACTACCCACACGAAACGACGTGACCTCTGGTCCCATATATCTATTGTCCACGTTGCTAGTTTCTCGTCTCAAACCGTCGATTTGAACAAGTATCGTGCAAGTTCCTCACTCAGCGATATGAATGAGTGAACTGTCTTGTTTTAATTTAATTAACAAGTCAATCTACTCATAATTAGCAACCTTGACAGAGAAGCGAACACTGTGAAACTTAGAGAGGTTGTATTGAAGACCAAAACAAATTCGTACAATGAGGGTGACGCCCTTAAACAGTCAGACACTTTGTTAACTGTTATGAAAACACGACGCGGGCTTTACGGAAAACGAAACTCGACGGAACCTCCGTTTCCTTTCACAGAACGGCGAATTCACAATGAATGTGTTGTAGACACGAGAAAAGCTGTTTGTACCTGCAGAAATTGTCGTGTGCATTTCTCAGATTTCGATAGGATGGATTTAAACAGACAATATGTCAGCTGTCCTGCTGATTTTCGAGCTTCTCAAGAAAGAGTAAAATTGTCCGACGACAAAAATTCCCCACACTTTGGATCTGCAGTTTCTACGTGGAGTTTGACCGCACAAGCTTTGCTTGAATGGTCGCAATCGAGTGAAGATGTAGATGTGAAAGTAAATTGCCAAGAGTGGCTGAATAGATGGTTGGCTTCCAACGGTAAATCGCCACACCAACAAAAATTAAACGAACAGATTTAACACCAAGGGTCATAAACCCATCTACAATCATAGTTGCCTGACACTAAGTTTGCCAAAATGATTTCAGTGTTTTCATTGCTCGAAATTTGACCAAACTGTTCTATCTTGTAGGTAACCTTTACTTAACGAGTTCTTTACAAAGCAAAATCAGCGTTGCACTTCAAATTTCATTTTTCGAAAGTGTTCAGGCCCCTAGCTACGCGCGGTCCAACCTTTCACTTAGCTTTAATTTCATGAAGACACTCATGCTTAGAAAATAATTTGGGGCTTTCTTTTTGCTTTTGCTGTATTTATTTGTTTTCGAATTGGAAAAGTTGAAAGTAAAATTACTCTGTTAACTGCTGCTTTGTGGATTTTCCGCGGCTCGAGTTGTTCAAGGCCTCGTACATCCCCACGGACATGTCTGACACGTGCTCATTCTCTCTCTTGCCTCATCTGTTTGACCATCTTTCGCATCATATCCCTGGGATTAAGAGTTGAAACGAAGAAAATTGTTGAGACATGCGTCGGGGAGATACGGCAGTCTGAATTGGGGTTAGGTGCAAAGACAATTAATTCTGAACGGGCAGGACTCATTTCAATGCGAGAATCATCCTTACCTAATCGCGTTAAGCTTTTCTTCAACTGATTCCCAAGGATTGCGATCTTCACTGAACTCAAGAAGCTCTGTAAATTATTAATTCTTTTTTTTAATGCGTAAGTAAACCACTAGATTGAAAGAGAGTATAATAACCTTCAGTGGTCACACGACCAGCTCTTCCAGTCCTCATCTGTTTTCTACTTAGAGTATGAACAAGGACATGCACAATTTCGTTAGGGACTTATCGTGTAAAGAAGCATTTTACAAGAGCTTTCGGGTCGAATTTCTGATATCGAATTTATTACCTGAGGATAATACGTTCCTCGATTTCCATGCTAGATATCAATCAAACAGACTCTCGGACAAAATGCTTATCCACAGCCTTCGTTCCAGCCTTTCAATCCATCTCATTGCGAAATTTAAGCGAGTTTAAATGACAACAAACCTTCAGCGAGTTTCTTTTCACTGATCCACTCTCCCTCTTTGTAATACTTCACGCGCAAATTCTGCACCAAAGATAATAAGATAAGTGAGTATCTGCAAAAAGAAACTCAGTAGAAATTACGATTCTTACTTAATTAATAAATAATCTGAACAGATATTAAACGTTTTGAGCTGATTAAAATAATAGAAGCAAAATTGGGCATTCGATTCATCATTATAATTTAGCAGTAAAAATTCAGTAAAATTTAGCTTGTGAGAAACTGTTTTTGCAGAGTTTAACTTTCTCAAGCCTAGGTATCTTGTTACACACTCTACGCTCCTGAGGCCTTTTCTCGAAGGTTCCGGTAACTTCACGGATTAGTAAAGCTGTTCTGTTTAAATTAAAATCAAAGTTCAAAGAATATTGAGAAAAGCAGGTCGTGGTACCCAAGCCATGCACTCCGCTTTGTTTCTTGAGCTGATAGTTTTCTTTTGCAATTTTTAAATCATTTGAATCCTATTGCAGAAAATATGTCGTTTTTCTTTTTTAATTTAAAGAACAATTTTCCTCACCCCCCCCCACCTCGTTCTGTAATTTTTTAGCATTCAGACGCGCGGTGCACGAGATTTACACCTACAGTGTACTCGGTTCTTAAAAACATGATCTCCGTGCCTTCCGTCTACGTACCAAAAAAGGAAATCTCTCCATGCGAGTGAGCTGTAAAATACGATCCACATCATACTCCAGACGGGCGACTTTCTTGGCCTGTATGTAGGTCGTGCTCATCTGTGCTATGAGTATGTTGAGCAGAATCACAAGTACAGTTCCCATGTACATTAGCATTAACAGCATGGAGAGCCAACTGCAAGAAAACAAAGATTCCCAGTATAAGGATACTTCGTCAACTGAGGGGTTTGCCCTACTGCAAGCTCGCACCTTCTACCGGTGCCTTTGCGAGTTCGCCGCCTGCAGTAAAACAAGTTTGCTCCCCGCTGTTACCAGTTCGGACCCAGAATCGTTCAACTCGTTTCCCTAGGGCGGGTAAAAAGCAAAATCGGAGGGATTAATATTGTATGGCGTGGAGTAATGTACTATTGCATATAACACCATTATGGGTACGGGTTTTCAGTTATTACTAATTACTTAAGTCGGAGTCACTCACTTAAAGCTTGAATAATCGGCCACAAAGGGTCGTTGCTCGGACAGGGCACGAACACCACTTAATAACACATCTCCAAAGCCACTGAATGTAAAGAAAAGATTTAAAATAACGTAAACAACATTTCTCAATGTTTCCACGTTCAGCAGACTAAATTAGTCTTACTGGAAATTTCTCCAAAGCTGAACGAATGTCTTCAAAATTGCCAAGCTAAAAGCATTACACGTTTATCCGCGAAATAACTCAAATAAAGTACAGACTAGAAGAAATGAGAAGTAACTAAAATTACTAGATGCACCTAAACTCTTGGTTTTGATTGGTTGAGTGGAGAGATAAAAACAAGGATCCACAGAATGGAAGGAAGATTGCTACAAAAACTGCCATGAATCTTGTCAAGTCTTGCTGAATGATCTTAGCCAGGGTTTTCGTGTATAATCCTGTAGTCCTGGAAAAGATAAAAGTCTGAGTATGATTGGACTTAATTTGAATCAAAACTGTTCCGATAATTATACTGTTTGAGAGCTGAGGATGTACTATACTCTGGAATAATTAAAAACCTCTCTCTGAAAAATTACTGATTACTGTACAACGGTGGTGACGTTCCGGGCGAAACGAGAAAACTCCTACGCTTTTGAGAGAGAAGATAAGTAGGAAAGGGAAAAAAGACAATAGAGGTAGAAAAAATTGCCACTGCGAAGGACCGATCCCTAGACCTCATTGGCGTGCAACCGCTTTGATTGGTTAATGTGGATCGTTGCAAAATGAAAGTACTGGGAACGTCTCTCTTGTAACTGAAATGAAGCCTGTTGTTAAACCCTTGCAATTAGAGATCTTTTTGTCACCTACCTTGTCACACATGAAAACTTAAATATCCTCAGGAAATTGAACAAGAGTGCTAAAGAAGCAACCGTCCACTGAGCTTTGCTACCAGTGTACCTCAAGGGTATTACACACAGGATCAACAACAGGCCTAACCAGTCAAACAGGGTTATCCACTCTGATAAATAGGAATATCTCTCTCTACAAAAAGGTATCAAATAAGACAAATCACTTCATTGAATCTTTTCCTTTGGGGGAACTTTATTCAGGGACACAAATTTTGATAATTGTTGCACAAATGCTTATTGTATATTATTGAAATAGTACATACTATCAT